TTTTAGTATTTGGGCAAAGGGACGATGGAAAGAGGATGCCTGTTGGAACGTGTACACGATCTAGCTGTCCTTCTTACTGCACTTGTTTTATGGCACTTACGTATTTTCCTCTCACAAGTTTACAAGTGACTGCGAAGTGATTCTCTCCAAATCACCCAGACAACTCGAGGTCTCTGGGCCGTGTCCCTCCTGTCACCCATGGTTCCCGAGCTCCGGTGCTTTGGAAGCGCCGCGGTATTACTGGCCCTTCCTCCGGCCAGGTCCCGTGTGCAGTGTTTTGACCGTGTGCACAGCCCGTGTACCAGAAATGCCAAGCGGCTGACTGGGATTTGCCTAGGTCTGCAGGTCCTAAAGCCCAGGAGCCTGGCCACTGCCGTGTGGATGCTCAGGCCTGGTCAGTCACTGTGGGAAAAATGCATTTCAGGGCTGTGTCTGCTAGAGATGCTGAGGGAGAGGGAACAGGCCCCCAGGACGGAGGGGCACCAAAGAAGAGCACTGGTATCACTGCTAACGACTCCAGTCTCAGCTCTGCGTTTACTTGTCCTGTGAACCAATCTCTTAAAACTCTGCCGGGCTGCTGTGTTTACCTGTTAAATGGGGATTCTAAGACCTGCGCTGACAGGCTTCAGGAAGAAAAGGCCTAGCACAGGGCAGCAGCGGCTGAGTCAGGGTCACTCAGACGTGGGCCCCGCCTCTTCAGGTTTTTCTCGGCTCTTCCTCAGGTCCCATCCCTCCACGGCTCTGCATGTCCACTCCCCTCACAGCCACCAGGTGGAGCCACGCACGGCAAGGCGAAGCCCAAGGCCGGATCCCAGGCAGCTCCCTGTCCCTGGGCAAAGTCCACTTCCCACACTGCAGCGAACGTAACCTTCCGCGTTTATGTGACCACGAATCCTCAGTATCTTCAGCTCCCTGGCAAGCATGCAATTTCCAGGTATAGGCGACCCCTAAATTACAGTTTCCCCCAAGTATGTGGCAGACACACCTGCTCCTCTCTTGTGTTTATGAAAACGAGATGTGCGGACTTGTCTTCACAGAAAAGTTTCGCGTCCTCAAAGATTTCTTTCTCCACCGAAAAATAGTAGCACTTGTCTGTGAAGTTCTTCCAGTGGGGCGGACAGCCTAGGAATGCAAAGGTTTAAAGCACTGATGTGAAAAACTTGGAAAGCACTCCGCCTTTTCTCGGCTATGTTTGTGAGGTCAAAGCCACAGTCCCGTGTCCTTCGGGCGCCAACAGCAGCCTGCGTCCCTGCGTCCCACCACAGAGGCTGGAATGATGCTGACAGACACCACACAGCACCTGAAGAGGACGGAATGATCTGGAAAAGCCTGTGACTGAGCCTTTGTTCCTCTGCACCTGGATTAATCCTTACGGTGACAGAAATAAAAACAGAAAGCGGGACAGGCACAGATGTTCACCATCAGGCTGGGAGCATCGGGAGCCTGTGAAAACCTGCACTTGAAGACCCAGAACCAAACCCAGGCTCACAGGAGGAAATGGAGCGGGAACAGGCCGGGGCTCAGGCGGGGTTGTTAACCAGTGAGTTTTCCCAGAGGTCTCATTCTCAAGGGACTAGAGGGTACCATGAGTCCTTGGCACCAGCACAGAAGTTTTATCTGTGTGCCAGTGGACTTGGCCGAGGCAATGCTCCGTCCCTGGGCCGAGGACAGGACGGTGAGGGTGGCCAGCCACAGGCTATTGTGAAGGAAGTGTCTGGGGTGCGCCTGTCTCCTGAGGCCCCAACGCCTCTAAGTAAACCAGTGCTGGGGACCCGCACTGTGGGCCTGGCTGTGACAACAGCACACGATCCTTCCCTGCTAATAAAATGGGGGATGCGGGGTCCATCCCTGAGTGCCCACCCCCGACCCCCTGGAAAAGGGACTCAGACTTACCATTGGCCTCCGGTACGGGGGTTGGTTCATTCTGTAGAGCCAGGGGTGCCACTGCCCCTGCTGGCCCTGGGGGACCAGGGGGGCCCTTGGGTCCTGGCATGCCTGGCACCCCTGGCAGGCCCGGAGGTCCTCGTGGTCCAGGCACCCCAGGCTCTCCCACGGTGCCCTGCAGTCCCTGGAAGCCGGGAGGGCCCTGGGGGCCAGGGAGCCCATCCTTGCCTGCTGGGCCCGGGGGGCCGGGGTCTCCACTGGGACCCTGCGGGCCAGGCTTCCCAGGGGACCCACGGGAGCCTTTGGGTCCCTGGGAGCCTTTGGAGCCTTTGCTGCCGCGCTCTCCAGGGGGCCCAGCCGGTCCGACTGGGCCTCTCTCACCGGTGGGGCCGGGGGGCCCAGGCTCCCCCTTTTCTCCTTTCTGTCCTTTGTTGCCAGTTGGACCTGGGGGACCCTGAGAGCCTCTGTCGCCTTTTGGACCCCTGGGGCCAGGAGGACCTAAACACAAAGGGGTAAATGACATAAACGCGAAGTCCTCTGTGAATGATAGCATGTGAAGTATTTATCTTTCTTACACAATTTCCAACCTAAACAAAAAAGCAGCATAAAATGTACATTAAGAAATGCTTGTTTATCATACTATTTTTGGCTGTTATGGGCTGAATTATTTCCCCCCAAATTCATATGTTGAATCCTGACCCCCAATCGTTAATGTGACAGTCTTTGGAGATGTCTTTAACAGGTAATTTAGTTAAAATAAGTCCCCAGGGGGTGAGTCCTAATCCAATGTGTGTCCTTCTCAGAAGAGATCAGGATGCAGACACACAGAGAGAGACCTGACGCAGGGAGAAGCCCGTGTGCAAGCCAGGGACAGGGCCTGGGATCTCAGACCTCCAGCTTCCACAGAGGGGAGGAAATCATTTCAGTTGTTAAAACCTTCTAGTCTGTGATACTTTGTTACAGCAGCCAGGGCAAATCAGTACCACGTGTATTTTGTTTTGTTTTTCAGAATGGGCTCTGGGCTCCCCTTCCAAGCACTCAGAAGGGATCCTAACTGCTGCAAAGCTTTCTAGGGCTCCACTGATGGGCTCCACATTGACACTAGAAACAGAGGGTTTGTCACCAGCAGAAAAGATGCGCAGGTTGGAACCAAGATTCCCTTGTACTGCCTTCCTACTTTTTTATGTTCAGTTATTTCACAAAAATTAGTGATGTGCTAGGCGACAAACACCTCGGGAGGTCTGGTGGGCTGTAGTCGAAGTTGACCAAACGTTGCAATGGGGGGTTGAGAGGCACAGCTGAGCCTTGGCTTTTTCCCATCACCTCCCATCTTGCATTCCTGTCCCCACCAGTGTCATATTAGGGCTCGGCCTCACCCCCATTGCCCGGCTCAGAGGGACAGGATGGACCACTGCCCACTCTACACAGGGCCTACTCTCCGCTGGTTTTGATCTACTACAGATCGAGAGAGGCTAGAAGGAAGACGTAGGAGGACCAGCCAAAGAGCCCCAGGGGGGAAGAAGGCGAATGCATGGTCGTCCCCACCACCTCTGGAGCCGCTCACTCGCGCAGCCCCGTCCTCTCGAGTTTGTGAGGGTCAGAGGGGACTCACGCAGGCGACCCACAGCCAGCCTGCTGTGAACGGGTTTTCGGGCGACTTCACGCCTGTGTCCCCTGAATCCGTCCTTGACGTGGTTCCCATAGCACAGATGACATAAACTAGAAATGCCAAGTATTTGTGCCAGGTTACTTAGCTACTAAGAACAGATAAACCCTGGAAAATAAGGCTGGGGACATCACAGTCTAGCCATAGAGCTGGGACATAAGTTCAGCTCTTCTGATGTTGGAATGAACACATCGAGGTTAAGTCTCAGGATAGTCTACTCTGCAGAGTCTCGGAGTTTCTGAGACTCCCCAGTTCTGTGTGAAGAGAAGCCCACACTTACTCTTTCTGTGGAAGCAGAAAGCCCAACACTTTACCCTGGCCCGAAGCAGGGGACAAGCACAGATGTGCCACCAGGGGCTCGGAGCTGCCACGGAGAGGCGTGCGAGAGAGCAAAGACTGGTGCCTGTGTACCCTAAGTTTCTGTCTTACTCCCCGCCCGTCCCACCTCTGTCGGGCCACCTCCCTCCACCCACCTGGCCTTGGTGGACACGGCTGAACCTTCACCCGCCCATCCTCACTGCGCTCTGGACCTGACTTTGGTCGGCCGTCGCGTCGCGCGTGGATTTGTGAGGACACTCTATGGGCTGTAAGTTTGTATTAGGGCCAGGCCTGAGCCTAGCTTAGACGGGGGCCTTCGGGGCTGTCCGCTCCACGGCGGAGACCCAGGGACGGGGGCGAAGTCCTTGAAGCCATGTCCCTGACCTCTGTCCACAGCGCCTGTCGGCCCCTCCCTACCTCGGTGTTCCTGGGCTGTGGGTCTGCTGGGGATCGGATCGGCCGTGCCTTTAGGACGCCGAGGAGCACTTCCAGCTTGGCCTGCCTTCCGCCCAACCTCTCATCTGTGCTTCACCTGCTCCCATCGTCCCTTCTCCCGACACAGTACGGCCTCCTGTGCCCCTCTCTCCTTGGAGTCCTCTCCACCCGCCCTGCCTTTGTCATCCCGAAGCCCAGCTCTCCTCTGTTCATTCAACAGTGTTCAGCCCCTAGTTGGCCAGTGCAGCCTCGAGGTTCTTTGCAACTTGCGCTCTGCATTTCCCCTCCTTTCCCAGCATTTCCTCTGCCCACAGCCATCGGTACAGATCCACGCTGGAGCCCACGTCACCCTCCAGGTAGCTCTGACGGAAGTTCCCCCCTCTAATCTTCCGGTCTCCGGTCTACCGAGGACGTCTCTCCCCCCAGCACCTCGCCCTCCTGGCCCAGTCGTTTTCAGGAATACTCACCAAATGCGTGCGCACCACCGCTAAAAGCCCAGAGCTCTGATGCTAACACCTGGGGCCCAGGAAAGATCACCTTCTTCCTCGAGGTGCTTCCCTACCAGTCTGCGTGGCAGGGGGACTCTGGAATCGTCACGTGGTGACCTCTTCCCTGCCTCTATCTATCCATACTTAAGAACTGATTCACTGGGTCCCATCTGGAATCTGAGTATTTTTCTGTTAACTGGGGGAGATTCATCAAATGGCCTGGGTCACTTAGGAAAGATGGGGAGACAGGCTTTTTGCTGCCAGATGTATCTCCTTTAAGTTAGTTCCACAATTGTGCTGAGAAATAGTGACCTAGTGATTAACAGTGGGAAAGCAGCACTGTGTTCCTTTGCAATGGATACAGCATCACGGAAGGTTCTAGTGGAAAAGTCCAGACAGTAGGCCACAACAAAAACAAACAAACAAATGAAAATGACTTTTCTTCCATGTTTAGCCTCAAGAAATCCAAATAATGAAGGTCTGTTGGGAAACTGAATTACTCTCTTTCAAACTTTTGCCACTAATTAGTTTCTCCACCACACACACCTGGAGTTGGTGCTGTACCTGCAAATTACGGGAAATGGATTCATCACGGGAGAGACTGTGCTGGTCAGGGGCCCTGCCTCCCTGTCCTCAGCTTGGCATCCCGAGCTGCATTTCTTCCCCATCAACTCCTCTGGTTTCTGATGCTTTCAAAGACACACAGCTCTTTTACTCTTCAGACCCGAATCCAAGACCTCTCTCACAGGGGTGACGGCTTCTCTCTACTCGTCTCTTCCAGGGTAGGGCACTTTCTGGGGGTCAGCTCTTCCCCTCTGACCTGCCAATGGCTGTGAACGTTCCCACCCATTCCTCACATAAGTGGTGACTTATTTGCGGAATGGCATTAAACACAGGTCCCAGTGCAAGGACCTTGAGTTCGACCCCCCAGTACAAAAAAAAAAAAAAAA